AATGTTTTCAAACCTAAGTGGCCACCATTTTAATATAGATGCTTTATACTTGGAATGTTACATATAAACCTCATGGTAACCACAAACTGAAAATTTATAATAAATACACAAAAAAATAAAGAGAAAGGAAGGCAAGCATAATACCATAGAGTCACTAATCCCAAGGGAAAAGAGTAAGAGAAGAAGAAATGAACAGAGAACTAAGAAAGCAAGCAGAAAACAGTTCAACAAAATGACAAGTACATAACTATCAATCATTATTTCAAATGTAAATGGTCTAAATGCTCTAATCAAAAGACATTAGATGACTGAATGGATGAAAAAACAAGACCCATCTATATGCTGTCTACAAGAGACTCACTTCAGAGCTGAAGACACATATAGGCTGAAATGGAAAGAATGGAAAAAGATATTCCATTTAAAAGGGAGGAAAAAAAATGGGTAGCAATACTCATATCCGACAAAATAGACTGTAGAACAAAGACAGTAACGAGACAAAGAAGGGCACCACATAATGATAGAAGGATCATCCAACAAGAGGATATAACAATTGTGAACAACTGTACATCCAACACTGGATACCTAAATACAGAAAGCAAGTATTAATGGACATGGAGAAATTGAGAGTAATAGGGGACTTTAATATCCCACTTACATTAATGGGTAGATTATTCAGGCAGAAAATAAGCCAACAGTAGCTTTGCATTCAAGACCAGATGGACTTAAATGCACAACACTCCATCCAAAACAACAGAATACACATTCTTTTCAAATGCACATGGAATATTCTCCAGGATAGACCACATGTTAGGCTACAAAATAAGTGTCAATAAATTTAAGAAGATTGAAATCATATCATGCATCTTTTTTGACCAAAAGGTGTGAAACTAGAAATCAGTCTCAAGAAAAAAATGGTGGAAACACAAACACATGGAGGCTAAACATGCTACTAAACAACCAGTGAGTCAAAGAAATCAAGAGTCAATTAAAAAAAAAAAAGAAAATGAAAACACAACAGTCCAAAATCTTTGTGATGCAGTGAAAGCAATTTCAGGGAGAAACTTACGTGTGATACAGGCCTACCTCAAGAAATAAGAAAAGTCTCAAACAACCTAACCTTACACCTACAGGACCTAGCTTGGAAAAGAACAATCAAAGCCCAAATCTAGTAGAAGGAAGGAAATAATAAAGATCAGAACAGAAATAAATGAAATGGAGACTAAAACAACAATGGAGAAGATCAATGAAACCAAAAGCTGGCTTTTTTTTTTTTTTAAGATTTTATTTATTTGCGAGAGAGAGAATGAGAGAGAGCATGAGAGGGGGGAGGGTCAAAGGGAGAAGCAGACTCCCTGCTGAGCAGGGAGCCCGATGTGGGACTTGATCCCGGGACTCCAGAATCATGACCTGAGCCGAAGGCAGTCGCTTAACCAACTGAGCCACCCAGGCGCCCCCAAAAGCTGGCTTTTTGAAAAGAGTGTAGGGAGGGTAGAGGGAACATTCCTCAAATTCATGAAAACCATCTATGAAAAGCCCACAGTGAATATCATTCTCATTCCCTTAAGATCAGGAACACGACAAGGATGCCCACTCCTGCCACTGTTGTTCAATATAGTATTAGAAATCCTAGCATCAGCAACCAGACAACAAAAAGAAATAAAAGGTATTCAAATTGGCAAAGAAGAAATCAAACTCTCTCTTTTTGCAGATGACATGATACTTTATGTGGAAAACCCAAAAGACTCCACCCCCAAATTACTAGAACTCATACAGCAATTCAGTAATATAGCAGGATACAAAATCAATGCACAGAAATCAGTTGCTTTCTTATACACTAACAATGCAACTATAGAAAGAAATTAGGGAGTTGATTCCATTTACAATAGCACCAAAAACCATAAGATACCTCGGAAGAAACCTAACCAAAGAGGTAAAGGATCTATACTCTAAAAACTACAGAACACTCATGAAAGAAATTGAGGATGACACCAAAAGAAGAAAAAACATTCCATGCTCATGGATCGAAAGAATAAACATTATTAAAATGTCTGTGCTACCCAGAGCAATCTATACTTTCAATGTCATCCTGATCAAAATACCAATGGCATTTTTCAAAGAGCAGGAACAAACAATCCTAATATTTGTTTGGAACCAGAAAAGACCCCAAATCGCCAAGGAAATGTTGAAAAAGAAAAACAAAGCTGGGGGCATCATGTTGCCTGATTTCAAGCTATATTACAAAGCAGTGATCACCAAGAGAGCATGGTACTGGCACAAAACAGACACATAGATCAGTGGAACAGAATAGATAGCCCAGATATGGACCCTGAACTCTATGGTCAAATATCTTTGACAAAGCAGGAAAAAATATGCAATGGAAAAAAGTCTCTTCAATAGATGTGCTGGGAAAATTGGACAGCTATATACAGAAGAATGAAACTCAACCATTCTCTTATGCCATACACAAAGATAAACTCTAAATGGATGAAAGACCTCAATGTGAGACAGGAATCCATCAAAATCCTAGAGGAGAACATAGGCAGTAATCTCTTTGACATCGGCCACAGCAACTTCTTTCAGGACACGTCTCCAAAGGCAAGGGGAAAAAAAGCAAAAGTGAACTTTTGGGGCTTCATCAAGATAAAAAGCTTCTGCACGACAAAGGAAATAGTCAACAAAACAAAGAGGCAACCCACAGAATGGGAGAAGATATTTGCAAATGACATTACAGATAAAGGGCTGGTATCCAAGATTTGTAAAGAACTTCTCAAACTCAACACACAAAAAACAAATAAGTCAAAAAATGGGCAGAAGACATGAACAGACACTTCTCTGAAGAAGACATACAAATGGCTAACAGACACATGAAAAAATGTCCAACATCATGAGCCATCAGGAAAATTCAAATTAAAACCACATTGAGATACCACCTTATATCAGTTACAATGGCAAAAATTAACAAGGCAGGAAACAAATGTTGGAGAGGTTGTAGAGAAAGGGGAACCTTCTTACATTGTTGGTGGGAATGCAAGTTCGTACAGCCACTTTGGAAAACAGTATGGCAGTTCCTCAAAAAGTTAAAAATAGAGCTACCCTATGGCCCAGCAATTGCACTCCTGGGTATTTACCCTCAAGACACAAATGTAGTGAAAAGAAGGGGCACGTGCACTCCAATGTTCATAGCAACAATGTTTGCAATAGCCAAACTGTGGAAGGGGCTGAGATGCCCTTCAACAAATGAATGTATAAAGAGGATGTGGTCCATATATACAATGGAATATTACTCAGCCATCAGAAAGGAGGAATACTCACCATTTGCATCGACATGGATGGAACTGGAGGGGATTATGCTTAAGTGAAATAAGTCAAGCAGAGAAAGACAATTATCATATGGTTTCACTTATATGTGGAACATAAGGAACAGCATGGAGGACATTAGGAGAAGGAAGGGAAAAATGAAGCGGGGGTATCGGAGGGGGAGATGAACCATGAGAGACTATGGACTCCAGGAAACAAACTGAGGGTTTTAGAGGGGAGGGGGGTGGGGAATGGGTTAGCCCAGTGATGGGTATTAAGGAGGACTCGTATTGCAATGAGCACTGGGTGTTATACGCAAACAATGAATCATGGAACACTACATCAAAAACTAATGAAGTACTGTAGGGTGACTAACATAACCTAATAAAAAAATAAAATTTATAAAGTATAGACAAAAAGAAGAGATGAAGTATCTGAATAAACCTTAGTGTATTTGTCCTTTCTCCTAATGAAAAGTACAATGAGATTTTTTCCAATTTTTGCTTTAACAAGTAATACCACGCTTCCTGTGCTACTCATTCATATGTTTGAAAGTCTCTTTAGGGCCATAGTTCTCAACCTGGGTCAGTCTTGCCTGCCAGGGAACATTTGGCAATGTTTGGAGACATTTTTGATTATCAAGACTGAAGGGAGGTGTGCTCCTGGCATCTATTGGGCAGAGACTAGAGATACTGCTAAAACATCCTACCCTGGAAGAACAGACTCCCACCACCCCACTACAAATTGTAGCATTATCCAAATTATTCAATTTGTTAATAGTGCGAAGGTTGAGAAACCTTGCTCTGGGCATATACTTTGAGGTGGGATTGCTAAAGCTTGGGGTACATGCAACTCTTTCAGTTATATGAAACAGATTTCTGTAAAAGAAAATATTTTCAATACAGGTAAAGGTCGGAATGTTTTGAATTAAAGTTTCTTTGGTGATAATGGCTATCCAGCAGTTATAAGCAATTTAATTAAACCAGATAAAGTTAGTGGCATTACATAGAGTTAACTATTTACTTACCTAGAGGGTACATGTAATCTTTTAACTTCATGAACTAAAATACATTGTTACTTCCTGTCTGATTAAAAGATTGATTGTAGAGTGAGAGTCTGCTTCAAAAAAGTATCACTTGTGTAAGACAACAGTAGTTGGAATATTAGGCTGCAGATGATGATTGAATGAGAGAAAAATGACAGCATAAAAAGTGTAGAATTTTTCCCTGACAGAGATTATTATTAAATATAGAACAGTTAAAGGTTTGAAAACATTCTCTCTAGTGTGATTTAATCTTTTAATTGTAAGCAAGGGAATTAACAATGAATTTTGCACCCCACTTTTAAGTCTATAAGACCCCTACCCCTCCTTAAAAACCTGAGGAAAGTTCTAGCCCCACAACTATCTGCAGTGCTTGTGTACATACATTTTAGCATATGACTTTTGGGTGGTTTATGCATTTTCTTCGAGTCTGTTCGTGGGTCACACCCAACCCCCAGATTTCCAGGTTAAAAACTTTGCTAAAAAGGTATATTTGAAATTTTCAGTAAAAACTTAACTATATTGTTTGTATCTTCAGTGATGGAGAAAAATAGGTGACTTAGAATTTTTCAAGTCCTCTAACATTAAATGGATGCATACATATCTTAATTTTATATATATAACCTTCAGTTTTTTTTTTTTTTTTTGGTCTTTTTATTAGGTGTATGCAGCAGTGCTATGGCAACAAACTAATGAAAACAGACAAAATTCAACAGAAAAAGTATGTTTTGGAGCTGCCCTACCAGAAGAAAAACTTAATGACTTTCGTGATGAACAAATTGGACAGTTGCAGGAGCTGATGCAAGAAGCTACTAAACCCAATAGACAATTTAGTATTACTGAGTCTAGGAAACCAACATTTTAGTCTACGCAATAAAGCTTAACAAGCATTTTAAGTTCAGAACCCCTTATTTTAAGTCTCATGGTTTTTAGGAATTTGTTTCTTAAGCTTTTAGGCTTTGAGAATGCCTAGTATTAATGAAATATTTTATTTGGGGGATGTTATTAGTGGTATCTACAATATATAGATCAATATGACTAGTACACAAAACTGCATTTAAGTAACAGTACTTGCTGGATAGGATTTGATTTTTGGACTAAACAAGAAAGAATGACTCTAAAATTCCACAAAGTTGTGGAATTTTGCCAGAATTTATTTTTATATATAAATTTAATACTGTTCTTTTTTTCCAATCAGGCTACAGGGTTTTTTTTTTTTTTTTTTATTAAAATATAATGTATTATGCTGTTCTTGTTCAAGCATTAGCCTCATGGTTTTAGCTTCAACAGATAAGTATATTGTGATAATGACAGATGTGGAATTCCAGCAAGGTTGTTATTTATATATATTGTCATTCTGAAAGTTTCATCATTTCTACTTTAATGATTATTCTTGTAAATATCCATTCTCCCCGAGTCATTGTTCAGATACAATGACAGATTAAAAAGAAGCTTTAACATTCAGTACCATCATACATTGTATAATCTATCATACAAATGATAGTGTAATGTTTCTACAGTGTTTCTTAATAACAGATGAGCCCTTAAATTTATATAATTTGTAGTTACCTTGAGAATCTCATTTATTGCCTCAAAGTTGGGGAGATATAAAAACACTTTTATAAATTTTTTAAGTTGATTATAAACTGAAAAAAATCAAGTGGTAATCCCATGTACATCCTAAAATGTTTAATTTAAAAAAAATTACTGAAACGACTTGTAACTTTAGTTATGTATGTCTACTTTGAGATTGTGAAGTGATTATTTTTCAGATGCTATTGCATTTATTCAGCTCTTTAAAAATTGATTCATATTTACTCTCTTTTGCCATATGGGCTTTTTGTCTGTGTATGGCTGCCAGACTCCTCACTCCTTTTTAGTATTCCTCATTGAGTCTGCAACCCTCAATGTACATTGATGTAACCACTGTGGAAAAGAGTATGGAGGTTCCTCAAAAAATCAAAAATAGAAATACCATATGATCCTGTAACTCCGCTACTGGGTATTTACCCAAGAATACGAAGACATTAATTCAAAAAGATGTATACACCCCTATATTTATTGCAGCATTATTTGCAATAGCCAAGATATGGGCCCAAAGTGTCCATTGATAGATGAATGAATAAAGAAGACACAGTGTATGTGTACATATAAACTGAAATATTACTCAGCCATAAAAAAAGAATGAGATCTTGCCCTTTGCAACAACATGGATGGACCTAGAGGGTATTACTCTAAGTGAAATAAGTCAGAAAAAGACCAATGCCATATGATTTCACTTATATGTGGGACTAAAACGCAAAACAAATGAACAAACAAGCAAAAATAGAAATAATCTCATAAATACTGAGAACTGGTGGTTGCCAAAGGGGAGGGGGATGGGGGACTGAAAATAAGTGAAAGGGATTGAGAGGTATAAAGTTTCGATTATAAAATAAGCCATCGTAATGAAAAATACAGCAAAGAGAAAACTGTCAATAATATTGTAATAACTGTATGGTGACAGAGGGTAACTACACTTATATACATGACACAGTGTTCACAACGATAATCGTTGAATCACTATGTTGTTCACCTGAAACCAGTATAAAAGTATACATCAACCAAATACTTCAACTAAAAATAAAAAAATAGTGTAGATTGTATGAGAAGAGAATAAAGGTAGTATAATTTAAGTATAAATGTGATTTCTAATGTATAACTCATTTTTATATAATGACCATTTTAGTGGTTACATGTTATATAGAATTGGTTTTCTAATCAAAACCAACCACTAAAATGATTGTTTTATAGAAATGAGTATGTAACTTCCAAGTTAGTAATTGAGGATAAATGAGATAGAAAAAAATTGAGATAATAAGCAAAATATGTCAGTAACACATCAAATGTGTATGGACTATTTTATTGACAAATAAAACCACTTATATGCACTTATATGCACACCTAAAGCATAAAATACAGAAAGTTATACCAACCAAAATTAATCTGATATAGATATATTTATATCTGAAAACAACCGTAAAACCAGAAACACTGTTAGAGATAAAGAAAGTAACTTCATATAATGAAAGGTTCAGTTCATTGAGAGGATAATTTTTAAATTGGTATTTACCTGGAAGTAAATGATTAAGCAGCCCCATATTTTAGGGAGTTAACACAGTTGTAAATAACCAATGACTCAATCAAGAAATTCTAATGGATCCTAAAATATAACTGGAACTGAACACTAGTGAAATACTTGATAAAATTTATAGGCTGTAGCTAAAACAGTAGCTGGAGGAAATTCATAGCTTTAAATGTGTCTAGCAAAAAGAAAGCCTGAATATTAATGAGAAGCATCTATTTTAATAAGAAAAATAGCACAAAATAATCTCAAAGGAGATAAGGATTAGAGCAGAAAGTAATAAAAAATCAAAAGCTTATTCTTTGAAAAAGACTTTTTTCAGTGACAAATCTCTGGTAAAGTTGAATAAGAAAAATATCAGGAGTGAAAAGAGGACATAACCATTTCTTTTCTGACATTAAATAGATATGATACTATGAACAACTCAAAACCAGTAAATTTGTAGTCTAGAAGGGTTAATTTTTAAAAATTATATAGCTTAGCAAAATAGCCAGAAAAATGGTTCCATAGCTTTTAAATTAATTGTATCAGTATAGAAAGAAAATTTGAGGTCTAAACAACTTCTTTGGTGAGTACAGCTAAATATTCAAGAAATTAAACAAGCTTTTTGAGAGAATAGAAAAAGAGGGATACTTCTTCCTAACTCATTTTATGAGACTGTCAAATATCTGATACCAATAATAATGGTATGAGTAAGGAAAATTACAGGCCAATTTCACTTATGATATAGATGCATAATTCTAAACTAAGTATTAGTAAAAACAAATACAGTAAAGCATGACTTATCATGACTTGGTCAGGTTTATGTTAGAAATCCAAAGTTGTTTTTACATTAGAAAATCAATTACTATGATCCACCACATAATCAAAGGAGTGTAAATGTCATCATCTCATTAGATGTATAAAAAGCATTTGCTAAGCATTCAACATCTATCCATGATAAAAATCTCTTAACAAACTAAATATAAAGGGCACTTCATCAATCTAATTAAAGGGTTTCTACCAAACATCTGCAGCAAACATAATGATGAATCCTTGAAAGCTTTCTCTTTGAGATTGGGAAAAAGACAAGAATATTTGTCATCACTGCTTTTCAAGTCAAAACTGTTAGTCTGAGACAATATTAATGTATATGTTGAACATCCAAAATAATCTATAAATTATTAGAATAAGAGAATTTAACAAGTTTGTTAGATGCAAAAATTGCTGTACAAAAATCAATTGCATTTCTATATAAGCAGCAACAATGTGAAAATTTATAAAAATATTAAAATAGTATCAACAAATAAATACAAAGCAATTTCACAAAAGGTATTCAAAACTCTCTGGAGAAAATTTTGAAATTTTTCTTAAAGACACTAAAGAAGACTGAAAATGTGGTATTCTTTTCACTTGGTTACATTTGTATACAGTTCTGATTGCCAGGTGCTCAGATAGTAAGTGACAAAGCAGAATTCTTTAAAGCATTAAAGTTCCTTATACCTAAGGCTAAATCTTGAATACATTATTGAATTCATTCATATCCTGATGGCTAGCAGATCAACATCTGCACATTTGGCATGCTTCATTTTTGTGTAATTTCTCATTGCAGATTTGTCAATGTACAGTAAATTTTGTAAACTTGCATCAGGTTTACGAATACAGTACCATTTAAAAAGTGTTACTCCATGCTCAAAGATTAGAAGATTTAGAATTGTAAGTATAATTATTCCTGAACCTTTATAGTTTTGATGTAATCTTCATCAAAATTCCAAATGGTTTTTTAATTGAAAAAGCTTAAAGATTTATATGGAAGTGGAAAGGACCAAGAATAGCCAGTACACTAAGAAGAGAATGTAATAGAACTTTCTCTGCTAGCCAGATATTGAAATACACTATAACTATAGTTATGAAGATAGTGCAACATTTTATTATATGGAGGCTTAGCTTATCCAATGGTGGTACCATCCTACAGGGCAGAAAGGACTGCTTTTCAACAAATGGTTCTGGGAAATTCAGATATTTTTATGGAAAAAAAATCTTGGGTACCTAGAATTGGTTGTAGGTTTCTTAAAGATCAAAAGAAGACAAAGTTACAACACTGTAAAAACACAATATAAAGAATATCTTCAAAATATTGGGGTAGGAGGATTTTTTTTAAGTAGGCTTCACATCCAGCATGGAACCCAGTGCAGGGCTTGAACTCACAACCCTGAGATGAAGACCTGAGCTGATATCAAGAGTCAGATGCGTAACCCACTGAGCCACCCAGGAGCCCCAGGAGAGGATTTTTTTTTTTTTTTTTAGTGCAAAAGTGAGAGAGAGCCCAAGCAGGGGTGGAAGTAGAGGGGCAAAGGGAGAAGGAGAGAGAGAATCTCAAGCAGGTTCCACACCCAGCGCAGAGCCCAATGCGGGCTTGATCCCGCTACCCTGAGATCATGACCTGAGCCGAAATCAAGAGTCAGACACCTAACCGACAGCCACCCACGTGCCCCAGGAGAGGACTTTTTTAAAGACACAACCAGCTCTAGCTGTAAAGGAAAAAAGTGAACATATCTAAACACATTAACAAGTTACTTTTCCATCAAAAGCGGTAAGTGCAAATGCATGCCTCAGAATATGGATAGTTGTATCACATCAATAATGCTCAAAGAAATAATATGCAGAACATCTAAAGAACTATAGATCAGGGGTGCCTGGGTGGCTCAGTTGCCTTTGGCTCAGGTCATGATCCCAGGGTCCCGGGATTGAGCCCTGCATCGGGCCCCCTCCTCCGCGGGAGGCCTGCTTGTCCCTCTCCCACTCCCCCCGCTTGTGTTCCCTCTCTCGCTGTGTCTCTCCCTGTTAACAAATAAATAAAATCTTAAAAAAACTATAGATCAATAAGAAATAAAATCCAAAACAAAATGGAGGAAAACCTTGAACAAGAAATTCACAAATAAGGAAATTCACATGGTCAGTAAACAAAATCCTTTTTCATTTGTAATAGAGAAATTCAAGTATAAATCACAATGAGATTGTATTACAGAACTTTCAAATTGAGTAAAATGAGGAAACTGACAATAACAGGTGTGGAAAATGATAGAAAGTAATGGAAACTCTCTTATCTTGCTAATGAGAGTGTTAATTAGCATAACTTCTCTGGAAAACAGTTTGACATTCTCTAACAAATTTGAAGATGTTATACTGTATAAATACTATTGCATTATGATGTGGTGGTTGAGTACCAATTCTGTTGCCAACTACATGGATTTGAATCCCATCTTTTTACTTCTATGACCTTGAGGATGTGACTTCAAATATAAAAAGAGTAAGATTTTTACTCTCTTACTCCCAATTCCTGCCCCAGGAACTAAGTTTTGCCCTCATGGGAGTTTTTTGGTGAAGATTAAATGAGTTAATCTATGTGAAATGCTCATAACAGTATCCAGAACATAATAAAAACTATAAAGAATTTTCTATCATTGTTATTGCTATCCTTGTTATTAATATTACTTTACAACCCACAAAATCACTCTGACATATGTACACTGGATAATCTTGTGCATTTGTAGTAGATTAGGATACTATGCAAGAATGCTCATATAAGAATGATTTTTAGCAGACTCAAGCCAGAACCAATCCTAATGTCCCTCAAACAGACTGGATAAAAAGTTATGGTGTAGTCAGAGAGCAATGAAACTGAATAAACTACATCCTCTCATAACTACAATACTGATGGAAAGAATTTAAGTCAAATCCAAACACATACAGTATGAATCCATTGGTACAAAGTTCAAAACCAGGCAAAGTGAAACAACAGTGTAAGGGATGCAGATATTAGTGGTAAAACTATAAAGAAAAGTAAGAAAATAACAGTCACAAAAAGTAGTTACCTCTAAGGGAGCAAACAAAGTTAGGATTGGGAATGATATATGGGGCTCTTTAAGGGTCCTGGGTGACTGTTTTATATTTTGACTGGGTAAGGTTTCTATGAATGTTTACCATTATTCTTGGCCTCTCCACTCCCGACATATGACATAATGGACCTTGTTTAAAAAAAGAGCATTTCGCTATTGAGTATGCTGTTGGATTAAAAAAAAAAAAAAATACAACAGGTGCCCACACTCAATATTCAATAAAGTCGGAAAATAATCATTTTATTAATCAACCACAGGTTT